TTGCCCACAAAACGAAAATAACACGCCGCTTTTAGCGCACTGCGCTACGTACTTCTGTTGCCATTTTTTCGCATCTCCGTAATCAGAATAACCCGCCTTTCTTCGCTTGGATGCGGCTGAATGAGGGCGCTCACCGACGTGACCACTTCACTATTACCGACTGTGCTTTACTTTCGTAAATATATGAAATGCCAGCCCGAATCTGACTGGTACTGCGTTCGCCATCCTTCACTCTGTGCAAGTATCCTTCGTTACACCTGACGCTGTTAGTGTTGTAAGCGTGTGGAACTGTCGACCGGGTATAGTCTATGGCCGATGCTCAAACGCAGTGCAGTGCACCTTCGTACACCAGGGATACTCGTAGCTGCTCGAGGATTTGATCCAATGAGCGGAGAAGCGTCACTGTCGTGTGTTGGGCCCGATGCGATGCTCTTTCTGCGTTTGATAATAGATTATATTTTGCGCAGGCACTCATCTTCGAAGTCCTCCAACATTTTTACTTCTTCAATTAATCCATATTTCACTGTTATTTAGGAAGGAAGGTAAAACTTGTGCATCGCCTATAATTTCAACTCTTGCTCTATAGGTATGATTCCATAATCTCCTTCTCTATCCTTTCTTTGTTGTGGGGGAGAAACAGAGATATGGGTGGACAATGGACATTGGTAAAAATGAAAAGATCTAAGTTGTAAGAAAAGTTGTAAGTACCGGGCCGGTAACATTATCCAGCCACGGTAGGAATGTTAACAGATGTGTAGTCATCATAGAAAGCTAGCATGGAGCACGGTTATCGCTAGGAAGCAAAATGTTTGCTGTCGGATATATATATTAAAGGACGTGATGGCTTATATCAGAAGATGGTTACATATCATTCAAGTTTTTACACCTGACACTACATAAAAAATTACTTTTAAAACTACTACTTTTAAAGTGTTAAATGCTAATGAGAAGCAGGCTACACTGCTTTTCTACCAAACCGTAGCGTAATACCATTTACTAGATTTCTTATATTTTTTAATATAATTTACAAGTCTTTTCTTGTTGCAATTACGTTCTGAGTGTAGTGACAGCGATCCCCATACCATGCCGACCACGTATCAATTAGTTCTCGCCTTCCAACAAAGCATATATTGTACTAAAAATATAGTTACCTGCTAAAAAGACCGATTTTTAACAAAGAGCCAGTCAGCGTGATTCAAGAATACGTATATTAATTGGCAAACACCATCAGGGGTGCACGTCAGTACTAGGGGCTGCAGTAATTAACTGAGGGTAGTGAAGGTTAGTGTAATAACTGGGCTTTGCCCCCCCCCCCCCGCGGCCATCTGTTCCACGCAGACAGCTGCCACCAGCAGTCTGCCAGGCCAACTTATATCGTGACGTAGCAACCCCGTCATTATATCCGGCAATTAATCACTGTTACTATGACGATGTTGAATGATCTAACCGGAAAAAAACCTGAACCCATTAGAAGATTAATGAAAGCATGTACAACATGCAAATTAATATCCTAGCTTACAAGGAGGCGAACGATTATTTTCGGGACGCGGGATCGGACGATTTTAATTATCTGGGAACCGGGTTATACCAGGTAAGTTTTTCGTGATTGAACTGGAACGCGGGAAAGTCGAAATGCGATTTAATCATCTTGATTAAATATTGTTGTGCGTTATTTCTGGCTTAATGTGTCATTCTTGAATTCTTATAGCTTTACTACAAATCCAGTGAATTAACCTGTGTAGTTGTGATTTCCCGACTACAATACAATCCATGTACCTTCTTGACATATTGATTGCATTCCAAGCTTAAAGCTGAGCAACGCGAAGTGTGTTATAACTTAATCATAGAGCTGTACTAGTAATAATATACAAATGACACAATATCTGTATTGGTAGGTTTCTTTCCTCTGACCCACTTTGAAACCCTACTAACCACTATTCCTTTCGATATGTTTGTCATGTCTCAAGAGACACATGGAAAATTTTGCACAACTGTATTAGTTAGTTTAATCAAATTACTTTTGCAAAATTGATTCACGTTATAACAATAATTAGTTTGCGCTTACAACACGCAAAGTTTTCTAGCAAAATCGTAAATCTTAGAAGCGAAACTCGTAAACTGAACTACACGGCACCAGACTTGAACAGACTTGCACGAACGCCCGTCATGCCAAGCCTACGCCAACATAACTAACATGCTTTCACAGTTTTCAGGAGTATTAAATTCTCCTAAAAACCACAACGTTATATCCTTCCAAGAACGAACGCAGTAGATATGCAGGCAGCGACACTTTGAGCCTGCAGACACACCGAGCACTAATCTGCATGTTTATCTGCCTGGGAGAAGCGTAATACAGGGCCGTAGGCTGAGCAAATTCCTAGGGAAGGGGGAAAAATTTCATGACAACTGTGTAATGATGAGCGACGGACACAGCTCTTGATCGACGTCCATAGTGTACGTGGTAGGGGTGGGTCTGATACAAGGCTTTCACGGATAAGTGACCAGAAAATCTAGTTAACCGTTAGAGTTATTTACGATTATTAGCTAAGCTTATTTTTTAATTTTGCTCCAAAATCTAGGGGGCAGCTGCCCTCTTGGCTCCCCAGGCTACGGCCTTACACATTAATTCTCGGAACTTCATCTTACATCTATGACCTTCAGAACTTTAAAACATTTTCTGGCATTGAATCTAATATTAAGTCTGATGTTCTTTATTATATTATATAACATAGCATAGCATATGCATATAAAACTCTCTCTGCATATGTACTGAAGCATTGATTGGTTGGCACGGTTTTACAGTGAGAATGAACTATGAAAACACCCTATGAAGGCGCGCACCAACAAAATGCCAAAGCCATACAATCAAATTTCTATATTACACGTGAGCAGTCCAATGTCACAGAAAAATTGGTAAATTTAAAGGTTCAGCGAACATAAATATATAAACACGCAGACGTCAAATGATCTAAATATATACACACACGTCCGTTCAGACTCGTTCACACCCGTAAGCAGACACGTTCATACGCCATACTAGAACACGCGTACGCATATATATAGTAAGTAGGCATAATTATAGTAGCCCGTGTAACCACATATGCGCACACAAGCACATGCAGTCGCACGCACACACACCCTCATCACAGAAGACACCTGCCATGGAGAGCATTGCGGATGGAAGCTTAAAGTTGTATCAGAGCATACATGAATAAGTGACATGCACAAATATAATACACAAACAAAACCATAAACGCACGCACACGCACGCACGCACGCATTGATGATTCACCACATGATTCATAGCATATTATAATGACAGAACCCCTTCCCCCCACCTCCACCCACCCACACACGCACGCACGCAACACACACACACACACACACACACACACACACACACACACTATACGGTTTCTGCTTGAGCAGGAAACCCATATTATGCTGAAATGCCCAGCCAGCTGATACAACAACACTAGCAGTCAAGATGGCTATTAACAGCTACAGGCTGTGACCGCGTGCACGCACACTACTACTACGTACACGATCGCGCATCAACGAGGATAGCGAGACTGGAAATCTTACCGGCTGCTCGGCCCACGGCTGCGCCACCACCCCTTTCACATTGACCGCCTCGATGACCTCTGCGACGGGCTGGCGACCGTCGTCCATGACCACCTCGAGAATCTCCTCTACGTAGAGCTTCTCCTCTAGCTCGGCTTGCCGCCGCTGCTGCTGCTGCTCGACGCTGGAGCTGTTGCTCGCCGGGCTGTCGGGCGATGAGCCGTTCGCAGTGGGGCTCTCGGCGCTGCCGTTGCCGTTCCTGCGCTCGCTCGTTTTACGCTCGGCCTCCTCCCGCAGTCGCATGCGCCTGTGGTAGGGACTCTCTCCGCTGCCGAAGTTCAGCGACTTGTTCTCGTGCGCGTCGACTACGAAGCCGAACATGGTGTTCATCTTGCCAAGATGCTGCTGGCGCGACGGAGAGCGCTCTACCTTGCTGAACAACACCGACTCCGGCGGGCCTCCTCCCTTCGAGGGCGAGTCGCGCGAATCCTTCGGTTCCTCTTCGGCCATTGTCGTCACGATGTGCGGCGATGGTCCGACGGACGAGGCACGCTGTGGCGAGACGACTCGACGATTGTATTCGCGCGGGAATAGCGGTGTGCAGGCCTGCAGGACCCCACTCGTACGAACTCAGCCTCCACCGAGTTTCTGTCGAGACAGTTAATCGCCGTCTAACGAGATGCGGGATGCGGCGATACAGCGTAGACGCACGGCGGTGGCGGCGTTTCGCTTACGGTGTGAAAAAACCAGCGCCGGTTCCCATTCAAAGGAAGAATCTACGTGAGTTAGGTGTGTAGTGTAGCGGCGCAGCAGCAGCAGCATCAGCGAGACAGGACGGCCATGCAGCGCACGTTGCGGCTAGCCGGCATGAGCAACAACAGCAGCAGAACTAATCAATGCGACGCCGGAGTCTGCGTCTGCGCCGTGGTGCGTCAGCGACAGACCGAGTGTGTGTATGTGTGTGCACCTCGTACAACGCTCAGCATGGCAATGACTTCATATACGTCGCTCGGTGTGTGCCATCAATAAAACAGTGCTTCGTATGTGCCTGCTGCCGAGCAAAGGCCGGACGTTGCTATGCAGGATCAGGGCCCCAGCCAGAGGGAAAGCCCAGTACACAAGGGCCACGTGCACAAAGGGCGCGTAGCGTGTGAAACATGCGTATCCCCCTCATTTACATTGCATCACCATCTGGTGCCTGCTGCATACAAACATAAATGTGCTGTTTGTTCGTAGCACAAGCTCGCGGGCTGAAAAAAACGCGAAAAAACGCACCTGCATTGGCCACAGTAAAACTATTGTTGGCTGAGCTTTATAGTAAACGCCGCTTACGAAAACTGTAGTAGATCGATTACGAGACTTATATGAACTAATAAGTTAAAATCTGCCAATATCTCAAATATAGCCGTTACCTGAATATAAAATATGCATCAGTACTGATCGACGTACTCATTTAAAAACAACAAGATTAACAATTACAGATTAACAAATATATATTTAAATAATAATCAGTAATTACTTTACAAGAAAATCTTTGCAAAAAGATTGTCAGTCGAAGGTTTACGAATATATTAACGGGTTTAGCAGTGTTAACATATGACAGAGAGTTCTCTCACGCACACAGGACACATGACTCACGCGTGAGTCAGTACCGGAAATTCAATACAAAATATTACTACAGTGTCGTTATTCGATTGACTATTCTCTTCATCAAGAGTCAGAGACATTAGCTTATGGTTCCTGGGCAGCAAAGCTATCTGGCGCCATGATCTGTGGTAGCCGTAAACGATTTCAGCCGCCAGGGAATCCATGAAATGTGCGTGTAGCCATGACAACACAGTACACGCTATGTGTGCAACATTCCTTTCATGTCTACCAATAATAAAATCACGAATAGATGAGATTCATGTACGTATTCATAAACATGTATACATCTACTCATGTACTTTCGATAATGTATTCTCTGCCATTATGGTACACAAACAAATAAAAACTCGAGCACCTTACTTAGAATGATAGCCATACTGATAGGGCCTACAGACGGAGAGGCAGACGGGTTGAAGGACCGAATGACCGAACTAGAGTCCATTGAGCTTTCCCTATTCGTGCCTGCTGAAAGATCGTGATGACGTGGGTCTCTAATTATGGGTACCAGGACAGGTATCTTGGACTATCTCCCTAATATTAGCTCACTAACTACACCCCCTAATAGCTAGCCAGGTATAGCAGCTTCCGAATGGTAACTCTCTAATAATTGCCCCCCCCCCCCTGTACTCTGTACCCGCCTGAACCTGTGACGTGTAACTCGTAGCTACGCCTAACAGTAGCCCCCTAACAATAAACCCCCCTCCTCTAATAACAGCCCCTATAAGTACATACAAACGCCCTCAAACAGTAGCTCCCTAACCATACCCCGCTAAACAACTACCGTATGAGTCATCAAATAACCCGACTGTTTGCGCAGCCTCTGTTTGCCACGTCAGACGTGAACAAAGGCATGCATGAGATTCACATGCGCATGTACCTCACGTTCGCTATGATACCATAATGTACATCACACCATAACAAAGAATGATAATTCATTCTATTATATATACATAATAACCAGGGGCTAATAATGACATATGCCAAATTGTCATTATTAACCCCTGATATAACTATATTAGGCCTGCACACAAAACACCAAGCATGTTTCATGGCTCACGCACGCACGCACGCACGCACAACCGATATACAATCGAACAAATAGTATTACATTATATATTATATACATTATTACATTACATATTACATATTACATTACATTATATATACAACAATATACACCGAAATACAATAAGATAATATAAATTAGTATACAATAAGCTGGCGTAATGCAAGTAATGCGTTCCCAAACAAACGTTCGTAGCGCGAAAATCCGTAACGTGAAACATCTTTTACCAATGACTGCCATTATAAGAAGATGCCTTTGTACGGAAAATCTTCAGATTACTCAATTTTTAGCCAAGTTACTGATATTTTTCCCGACAGGAGGGGTTGAGCCTGCTCTGCTACTGTTTGCTCCCATCGGCTCCCTAGGTTGCAAGCCCGAATTCGCATTGAATTCAGTTAAATGAATATGGGAGATAGGTCTCGGGAACCAAATACTAAATCAAAATGATCAATTTGCGCGTGATGTACGAATGTAAGCAAAATAAAAAAATAAAAAAATTTAATCAGGATTTGTCAAAATTGTAAATTATGTTTCATGCAAAATCATAATTATAGTTTGATCTTTTCTTGGGTCCAAGCAAGTGCATAGACTCTTAAAACAATCACAATAAACGCATTTGCGAATTTTCATAGATTGGTCCCTGACGAGTTACTGATTTCTGGGCTGTAGCTACCTGCTCTTCTCTTTATCACACTGATCTGAATGCCAAAAAGTCATCTGAAGTCGGCTGCCGTTCTCCGCGGGTCTTTTCTGGTACGGCTATCTGTAGCAGCTTGATGTGTTTATGATTTACTGCTTTTAAATGTAAGTAACATATACTTGGAGTATACTAGACTAGACTAGACTACAGTGAAACGCGCAAACTTCATAAACAGTGCACGTAAGATCAAACTGTCTGCTGCAATCGAATTACGTGACCTAAATTAAATTAACCCACGAAGTGCATCTTTACAATTTCTATCTTACGCAAATCCTCGATAGTATAGTGGTTAGTATCCCCGCCTGTCACGCGGGAGACCGGGGTTCAATTCCCCGTCGGGGAGTCCTTTTGCACTGTTTATTACAAAATGCGCTTGCCAATTTCATACAAAATCTGTTTATTTTTGTATATGACATTGATAGAGATAGTTGCCACAATTTATTACATAACCAGGATTGAACTCAGAAATAATATTCTAATTATAGACTATATATTTCTATGCCTACACAACAGACACATGCACGCACACGCGCGCACACACGCGCGCACACACGCGCGCGCACGCTCACACACACACGCACGCGCGCGCGCACGCACGCACGCGCGCACGCTCACACACACACGCACGCGCGCGCGCGCGTACAGGATACATAAAAAGATACAATGTAACAGGTGAAATGCAATGCTTATTTAGTGGTACACTGTAATAAATCATTGCAAAGTTAAGGACGTTATAAAATATGCACTGGTTTATGACTAGAAATGAAAATTAATGCTATGATAATTATTTTTCAATTTTCACACATTAAATTTACAGGTGAAAATCTATTTCGTCGATAATGAATTAATCTACATCAATAACTTTACAATCCAATTTTCTACCCTCCATAGCTCCTGAACATACGTTTAAAGTTCACAACAAATCAAACCGTTCAAACCAGTTTACAAAGTATTCATGAAAGAATGGCCCCTGTATGAAAAATTTCCGTGTCAAGTGTCTCCAGAAGACATCATTACAGGACTTCAATTAATTAATTAGCGTGTGCGGGTGTGTATGTGTGTGCGTGCGGTCGAATAGGTCGAAATTAAAGAGATACTAAGTGCTCAGAAGCGTGCGAGACGCACGCACGCACGCACGCACGCACGCACGCCAACCGCACGCACGCACGCACGCACGCACACACACACACACACACACACACACATCACCATATACACTGGCCTGTTTATTTCATGTATGCAACAAGAATATTTTTGCCTGCACATCACTATAGATTTGTTAGCTAGTGATGATAGACCTTGTGTGAACAGAGTGCAGTCATTGCAAAATAACAATAATGAATCTTAATTCGATCACTAATAAATATCTTTCGCATGTTGCGTAAACAAGTCAATCCTCGATAGTATAGTGGTTAGTATCCCCGCCTGTCACGCGGGAGACCGGGGTTCAATTCCCCGTCGGGGAGGTTTTATGAGATTCTTTTGCAGGAATACCGTGTTAATTAAACTTACATTTATTCAATCGAAATCAGAATGAAATACAGCCTTTAAAATTTTGTAAACAAACATTCTACATAAACAATTTCAACAACTCCAATCTTGAACTATGATCATAACGCAGCGGTGCGAGACAATATAATAAGTGTGTGGGCCAGCTAGTGCACGATTAGCAAATTACGATTAGCAGGATTGGCAGTATTGTAAAACGGTGTATAATCAGCAGATTTATATTTAGTATGGGAAATGTTTCAAATTCTTCCAAAAATTAAAAAATTAATTTAGAAAATGATCGCCCAACGTGGGGCTTGAACCCACGACCCCGGGATTAAGAGTCCCGTGCTCTACCGACTGAGCTAGCCAGGCTACATATGAGCTGACATTATAAAATTCAATCTCATGCAAATATTTAATTTTCAAATACTTCACTCACTGGTAGTTCCAACAAATCAGTAAAAATTAAAATAATGTATAATAAATCTTATTGCACCACTAATAACTCTCCTATCTGTGGTATACAAGTCCTCACTGCAAAAGAAACGCCTAACGTCGGCGCGAATGCTGACTCTCTGCACTGCGCTGTGTACTTCCCATACATAATCCGCAGTTCCCTGCTATTATCTACTTCTGATAAGATGAAAGATACGCTCTTGATACAGCTCAGCCACCACAGACACTAACGTTAATGATTACCGCTCCTGCTCGTAACGGCCGCTAGGGCCTACTCACTAGAGTCAGTGTAGCGAACGCAGTCAAGCGTAACATGACGACTGGTATTATACAGGTTACCACAGACACGTGCTTCTACGTTATATTTCTACATTGTGCTGCCATCTGTTGGCAGAAAGAGACACAAATCCCAGATCATTGATTCACAAGCAGCTAGCAAACCCAGTCACAAATTTACGTTGCTCTGCGTACAGACAGACCTTTAGACCGTCCGGTGGTACATTAGTAATGTAATCACTCTGACTGGGCACGCGCGCGGTGTCGATGTTTAAACCTGTGCAACTCATACCATGATGGTCCGAGCACCGCATGCGCGCATGTACACAGACAGGGGCATAACGAGCTTTTGCAGCGGCGTGATTGCGGCTTCGTATTGATTTGGTTAGTTCTATTGTACAGCGACATCAAACAAGAACATGGCTTCGCGGGTAACACATGCTCAGCAGCAGTCACAGAGAAACCTAGACGCAAAGATAAGGCTGTCGGCGAAGATTCAGCGCAATATTGACGACACTGCATTGCTTGGTAAGCAGCTGTTCAAGGGAGCGCGGGCCACAGATATCCTGACACACACGGCAAGAAACTTTGCCATTCAGGTGAGTGAACGCAGTCGTATTAATGAACGCAACTAATGCAATGGAATGTAGCAATGCCATACTATTACAATATTAGGTCACATCAGGCGAGTCATGACAGGTGAGTATTCTGAATTGATGCTAGAAGCTTTACCGTTCGTCCTCAGTCCATATGGCATGTTAACTCAGCATTTGTAGGAAGGAGTTAATATTTAATATTAGTGTGACTCTGTTCTGTATAGAGAATTCTCACACTGTGCGCATTTTCTTCAAAACATTCTACTTTAATTGCCACATATTAAATCTGATACATTTCCTACACTCCAGTGGTGCCACCTGGATGTGAGATTTCCCCCGTTTTCTGCATATTATCACTGTGGTAGGAATAACTTGTGCTATACTGAATATCACTAGGCTCTCCAACAATGCATAGCTTCAGAGAATGATTAGTTTCTGTATGCTATGTTTATTAATTCACAAATTTGGTGAAGCCATCTAAAAATGCCCTTACATTACATACTCACAACCGTAGCTTGCAAAACTGCATGACAGTGCTCAAAAGCTTAAATTTGAACAGTAGTATGTGACTCGGTCAAAGTACACATTATTTATTCATTATAATTATTGGCTGGTATTATTTCTCCGGCAGCCGGAGAAGCAGCGGTGAAAACCATCGTTAGTTCTCCGGCCGCCGGAGAATTAAGAACTAATTTTCTTGTTAGATCTCCGGCGCCGGAGAAACAAGTGTACGTTTTCAGCACTGCTTCTCCGGCTTTGCCGTAGTCATAGTTAAATCCAATCATAGTTAAATTCTCCGGCAGACCGAAGTGTCCCGCCGCCGCTGTATTCCGCCTGTGGGCCGCCGCCGCCGCCCCGCTGCCGCAACCCTAACCCTAACCCTTACTTCTGGTTTGGACCTTATGGTTTTATGGTTTGGTTATGGTTTGCGCAGCGGCATAGTCTGCTTTTTTAACGGAGAAGCTAGTTTGATTTCTTGGCTTAGTTGTCCGGCTTGCCAGGGAAATAATCACTTTGATATTTATGATGTTTTCACATTCATGTGTGCGACTGAGTGTGCACCTCATAGATTGATACAAAATTTAATCCCCACATATTAGGTAATCCTTAGGACATATGAGACTTCTCCGCCTGGTGTAATCTATAAATATATGCATGAATATGACTAAATTAGAGTAGACCTGTACACTATAGACCTGTGCTGGCAAGATTCTACAACTATAACACTGGTGATTACATGAATGAAATATATATGATGGCGATTATATGGTGATTATATGAATGGAAACATCTCATTGTGTTTATAATTTCCAAACATGCTGCTATGCAATTATTAAATTCAGTTAAATACAAAGTTCTCTTTAAATACAAATAATAAAGGTGTAGTGCAGGGTTCTCCAAGAACACTTATAGCCTGGCGGCCCGCCAGGCTATCGTCGAGCCCCGCCATCCTAAAATGCACCCGCCACTCTAAATATCATAGCCGCCATGCTAAATTATAAATATCATAGCCCCCGGACCCCCCTAGCACGCAAACCGCCTTCGGCGATTTGCAACTAGGACCGTAAAGGCAGCACGGGGGCAGCACCCGCCATGCTATAATGAAAAAGCTTGGAGAACCCTGTGGCCTGTAGTGGTAATTTTTTCACACTATCAATCTTTTACAGGCAATTAATTACTAGCGCTGCGATCCACATCGTATTGAACACATGTATGAGTCATGTATCATGCATTACAGGAACATGCGGTAGACAACTCTGATGTCAACCTCACTAAGATGCACCTTCTATCAGCTCATCTCCACTGCCAACTGGAAGCGATAGAAAAGAGTACCTACTCCCTAGAGGGCGTGCGGGACCATGCTAAAGCGCTAAGTCTTATGCACTGTAACTCCACGCAGTCTGATGCAAGCTGATCGGCAGAGCAACACTGCAAAGTTCAGGCATGAAGATGTACTTCTACATCTGTGCGCGAAATCTGTGTGACATGGAGACTGTGTGATATGGAGCTATTATGTCGGCCGTAATGGCATTTGCACTAGAGCGAGCTGTTGTAGCCTGTATACTAGATATTAACACAGCACCCAAATGATGCTAGGTACTTGTCAATTATACGTGTTTGCAGGTACAGCAAATTTGAAATATATTTGAGGCCTAGACTTAGGAACCTACTTGGAATGGTGAATATGAGCGCTCCACTATAAGGTCATGGAATCTCTGCTTTTGCTGTGCCGGTCAATTAATTAATACAAGTCTCTTGTGCGCTGCACTGCTGGATTTATCATTTGGGAATACAGATATTGCAGGATGTACCAGTCTTTCCATGGCAATCTGTCTCTAGGAATACAGCCATTGCAGGATGCACTAGTCTCGCTACACCAAATGAATGTCTCACTTCGTCACAGTCACAGATGCGACACGTACATGTATCACAATGTAATTACAGGCATGATTGTGATCTTCTAGAGCCATCGGTTAAAAACGTAGTCCAGATATCGTTACTTTAGAGCTAAAGCCCGGCGCACACGTGAGTTATTTTACTCTCCGTGTGCGGCGGATTTTGGTTGAGTAATTTGACGCATGCGTCATTTTACTTCTGTGTGCGGCGGATTTTCGTTGAGTAATTTGACTCATGCGTCATTTTACTTGAGTAATTTATAACTCGCGTGTGCGTCGGGCTTAAGTGCTCTGTATCTCATTTTTATTCTTGCAACAATACCAGATAGTCAGTGTTTAAGAAATATGGCCAGCAAATTATATGAGTAGAAACCAAATTATAAACACAATTTCTTTCTGCAAGTACAAATCTTGCATACTTTAAATGTCATTTGAAATTTGTCAATTTGTGTTTTGGTACATTTACATTTTAGTATTCTCAGGAGAATTGAGAGAAAGGGAGAGAGAGGGAGGGAGGTAAGAGAAATAGAAGGAGAGAGCGAGAGAAAGAGAGAGAGAGAGAGAGGGAGAGAAAGAGAGCAATGGGCAATAGTGAGAAAGACAGGGTTAACTTAGAGAGAGGGGGAGAGAGAGAGAGAGAGGAGGGAAGCGAAGGGAAGGAACCAGACAGATGGACAAACAGACAAACAGACACTGAGACAGACATGTGCACACACAAACCCATGTCTGTCTGTCTGCCTGCCTGTCTGCTTGCCTGACTGTGTCTGTCGTCTGCCTGTCTGCCTGCCTGCCTTTGCCAGCCTATCTGCACACACGTATGCACACGTACACACAGGGGGCGAGAGACAGAGAGAGAAAGAGAGACAAGAAGAAAAACATACAGGTGGCGGAAAGAATATATGCTGACTAGAACCTGACTTAGTAACATATATACTAGTTTACATAAGTTAGCATAATATGTTTTTGTATGAAATTTAGAGAAGCATAACTTTCGTTACGTTAAGGAGCCTTCACACCATGGCCCCGATCTCACTACGCTCGTACTACGCTCTAAGAGCGTGGTGGAAACGTGCAGAACGCAGTATGAACGTACATGGACGTATCGAGCACGGTGCAGTCACCATGAGCGTGGAAAGCGTGGCCAAACTTTGAGCATGTTCAAAACAATCGTGGTGCGAGCGTGGCGGAAAGACAGCGCAGTGCGGGCGTATTAGAGACGTGGAAGGCGTAGTACCCACGTAACTCAAGCGTAGTATGAACTTAATGATCGTATCGCAAGCGTGTCGGGTGCGTGAAAATTGTCGCCCCGTTCTCAGCACGATGTCAATACGTTTTCATCACGCTGTTACTACGTCCATGGAGATGCCTCTGCGACCTGACCACGCTCTCGCTATGACCACGGTGCGTCTCTAGCAAGCTCGACCCGTTCGTACTATGATTGTACTACGCCCAACACGCTCAGACCACGCCGTTGTGGCGTTCGCATTACGTGTTAGTTGCGTCAATACCACGCTCAGATCACGTCCTGCGAACTTGGGGTATAAATTGGGGTGCTACCCTCAGTACCCTGGCCACCCCACCAGTTCAGTGTCCACTATGGATGAGGCAACACTACTCCATGCCATTTTTCTCGTAGAAGGACAACTCGAATTACTTGATTGCCAAGAGTAGCTTATCATTATTGCCAAGAGTGATCCTCATCATGCTGAGGAGGATGAGGAGGAGAAATAGAAGTCTTTTGGCGGCATAGTTGTAGCATACTATTATACTATTATGGGTATAAAATCAGTAGAAAATAATCTTGATGTGAACAGCACGGCAGAACGAATGATGATGTCTAGAATGCGGCGCGGTATTTATATGGTCGTTGCCAGCGCAGTCGGCGCCTGACTAGAGCGTGATTAAGTCGCACTAGGAGCGTGACTGGCGCGCAGTTGAGGCGCGGTGAGCATTGCTTAGGCGCAGTGAAAACGTCGTTCGAACGCAATGCGATCTGATTGGTCGCAATAAAGACGCAGTGAGCGCAGTGCAAGCGTGATGCGGGCGTGGTGTTGAGCGTGATGAAAGCTTGTTGAGCGCAATGAGATCGGGGTAAAGACGCTCTTAGGTCGTAGTATCGACGTAATTAGATCGTAGTATCGGCGCTGGCCCGGCTGGGCCCAATTGGCCACGCTGTCAACCACGCTCGGGCAAATTTTTTGAGCGTGGGGCGATCGTGATGAGCGTAGTAGGGCTAGTAGCTCTAGTGTGAAGGGGACTTTAATAAGGCCAAAACAAAATATAGGTGTGGTTATGGTTTCCCGACCGACCCTATTTATTCCCAGCGACCCTAAACATTTTAATTGTCAATTTTCTTTAAAATAAAAAAAAATATAATAAAAAAATATGAATTGGTCAGTTCCTGCTTTAAAAGGCACAAAGCACATCCTTCGGATATAGTTCGTAAATAAAATATTTCAAGAAAATAAAAGGTTTTCCCTACCTACCTACCCTATTTTTTCCAGCATGTAACGGTAACCACACATATATTTTGTTTTGGCCTAACGTATAATAATGTTATACTTATCGCAGTGGCTACGCGTCCGGTCATCCATTACAAAGATCAGCACAGATTCCCAAAGCCACGTCACGATTAGGCCACGCCCCCTTGTTTGATTTCATTGGATTTACTATTGCTTCAAAGGTTACAAAAAAACATTTTTTTACAAAATACCTAAAGGTAAGTAACATTACGGTAAAAACTTATTGTTGATTGTTTTTTACTGAAAAAAATATAGTTGGGTTCACATTAGAATTATATGACCGGACGCGTAGCCTGGGAGATGGGCGTCCGGTAACCGGATGCGTAGCCACCTATACTTATTTACTATGAGTGCTGTACATTTAAATCTACAATTAGTGCTAAAAATATATATTTTGTTAATTTTATTTTCACAATACACTCACAAACTTTGTTTTCCGGACTTGTCATCCAGATACAAAACCACCTCGTCTGGTGTCACGACCTCATAATTTGTGGAATCGTACCCCATAGTGCAAACCTAGGCTTCATTAGGAAATACATTTTTCTCTCATGGCATCATCGCAATGCGTCTTAGACGATATGCGTCAATTAGTCGTCAATGCGTCAATGCAATGCGTCTTAGACGATATGCCTCTACAAATGTCATCATGTGGAGCCGTTACCCAGGGGCAGATCCAGGATTTTTGAAAGGGGGTGTCCAGGAAGAAATAAGGGCATGTTTTCCTGCTAAATTTTTCTGGTGTTTTAATAAGCTGCCGAAGGCCACTTAGGTAGGGGGGGGGACCTCCCCAAAGAAATTTTTTTTAAATTGGTGCATTCTGAGAGCATCTGAGCAGTAATTTTGATGTCTAGAATGCAAGATGGAATTCCACATTTTTAGCAGAAAATTATCTTTTATTTTTTTAGGGCACTGAAATTATAAAAGGGGGTCCGGACCCCTCGAACAACCCCCCCCCCCCTGGATCCGCCCCTGTTACCTAAATTCTTATCTAATCCATAACATATTAGACGGCATACACCTAACGTGTTGCATTACCCTTTGTGTTGCGCTGTGTCACATCTTATTAATTCATCAATTACCACGAGCAACATAAATTGCCACACAGTTTCTTAATTAATATTTGCTCACTACTCAAAATGTCATGCCTCATTGCATCTTAATGGGAACCCACATTAGGGGACCTTCGCATGCAGGTTATGCATCCAAGCAGAGCATAATGAATAACAAAATACTCTTGCCTGTACATTGCATGAACTCGCAGTTAAATTATGTTGATTGTTGCTCTTTGTGTTTCACTCACAGGTGTTACAATATCACAAAGCATGGCTCATAAGGTCTATGTCCCCCAGATTACTGCCGGAACGTACCCTGGGTACGGTCCGGTATACCGGAACGTACCCTGGTAACTATTTGATACGGTTAGGGTTAGGGTAAGGGTTAGGGTTAGGGTTAGGGTTAGGGTTAGGGCTAGGGAGTAGGCGTTGGCGACTCCCTAGACTCGTTAGTGGAGTAGGCGAGGTACGGTCCGGCATATTAGATAGTACCAGGGTACGTTCCGGCAGTACCCTGGGGCACATAGACCCTCTCAGCCAAAGCATGTCATGTCATCAAAAGTTATTAATGATACTGCAAGCAAAATTTCCAAAGAAATGTTAGGAAATTACATTTCAAACACCACAGGTAGATTTTTTATAGAAATTCTGTGGCACACACAGTGACTGCACTCACCAAGATCGAAATTCATGCACCATAATGATCTCCTTTCCTATATGGCATTGCTGACACGTGATATCACAAGGTGTACCTGCCATTTTAGTCCGAGTTACCTCTTACCAATGTCTACACCGACGATATTTTGGGAATTTGGTGTGGGTTTTGTCAAATCCACCAAAAATCGTCGGTGTGGGCATTGGTCAGAGGAAACTCGGACTACTGCCATTCCAACACAGCCAACACAGCTATATACATCAGATCAGGAGTGAATAATAATAGATCAGATAGATCAAAATGATACTCACCATTGCCTTTGCTTTCATACAGCTGATATCTACGAACGTAGCTCCCAACTTTTAAACCTCGTATCTCTGGCGGTGCTGTTTCCAACAGTCACTCTTTGTCCCCAATCCGGCTTCTGCACTAAACTAGGAGTGCAAACCAGCTGCAACCAATACTGCACATCTTATAGCACCAGGCGAACAAGTAATGAAAATGAAAGCAAACTTTCAGCGCCAACAGTCAAAATGGACATCGTCCGTAGTGACTCTCCCCGCCAGATTTCCGACCGAGGAGCCTCAGGAGGCAGGCATGTGGTGCGCAGTTGTAAAAATAAACTCACCATGTTGTAAATACTCGGCCTCTCGGAACTTATCATGAGCTAGACAGACGGGCCC